CGGAAATTAAATGTGAGCACAGCCTTAGAGCATTCATGGGTGTAAACTGCCAAAAATTAAGAAAACATATGAGCAATATATCATAACAAATAAAAACATTTATATGAGTAGATGTTTCGCTCATGTTTCGCTCACTAAACTTGTTAATGCAAACGGTATATTGAAATATTTGTGAACATATGATATGTATAAATACATCCATTAGCACAAACTGGCTAGCGGCTCGAGAAGATTACATGTTTCCGATGCCTTCGAGGGTTTCGGACAGACACTTTTCACTGATGAGTTTGAGCTCTATAATCAACTTAGACATGCCTTACCAAAGACAATTTTACTTTGAACAAGAACAGAAAACTTTCAACAGGAAATCGCGTAAATAAAATTCTTCAACTGCGTGGAAAATATTCATGAGACTCTCCATTCGATATATGATAGCGAAACCTTTCTGTTGTATAGTTTTTTAAATATCGTTGCCTCTTGTGCTGTGACCATAAACTTGGATAAAACATAGAAACTTGCATTTTCTTTTAACCATCATTGGGCGATATAATAACGAAAACTCTTACCTTGTCTACAAAAGTGAGCAAACTTTGAGGAATGTAGAGTAGAGTACCTGCAGCATGGCAGCATTTCTGTCATGAATCACAGGAACTTAACCCAAGAGGCCGTAAGCAAAAACTGGCAGAACCAGTGACGGGCGGCAAGGCCACGATAGCGGAACGTGGCCTGCCTTCTTTGTGTTGTGAGGTGTCATGCTTGCTGCAACCTGGGTCTCAAAAATTTTTACTATGTCAAATCTAAACTATTAATGAGCGAGGAGATTGGTAAAAATTTACATTTGGTCCAAGTGTTGAAAATTGCATTTTTTGTACAGTTTAGCTACTAATGTAATGTACTACTAATATTTAAATGTGCAACACTTGGACAAGTGTGTACTATTAATGTAATGTACATTGCTATCACTGTTTTCAGGTTTACTACCACTAATGAGGTTGAGAATTACAGTAAAGGAATGCAATTTATCTAAACTAACCGATATTGGATTTGATTATACCCCTTCGAACACTCCCGAAGAATAGGTGTGATTTTGAGCATTACACCTTCTGCTAAGTTGTATATCTGAACAGTACACTCACAGGCTAGCATCGCAGGTGCCATAATTGCACCTGTGAGCTCGCGTTTTATATTGTATTGATTCGTCCCCAAAGTATGCGAAAGAATTCTTCACATAGCAAGCATACCCACTGGCCTGTACAACGTCACATCATCAGTAATTGTGCAGGTGGAAATAATTTTTGGAGACCGTATTTTAACTGGCTGTTGATTTGAGTCCTGCAGAAGCGTGAGGGCTCGACATGATGATGTCTAGCCCTCGTGAGGGAGCTAGACGTGAGAGATGCTTTGAGCGTCCAGACTAAATAGTGTTATTCTCATCTTTGTGTGTCGCTATTAGCTTGTAGGGGGGTAAAAGCTTACGATTACATGCATGTTTAGCCCAGCTTCAGAAGAATGGCTGTCAAATTTTAAACTATCAAGATTCTTCGCGAGTTCATGAAGCGAACTTCAATTATTTTGTAGCGAGATTCGACATATCCAATCTCGAACGACATATCGTGTGGATCGCACGTCACCACGTCCACACGTTGGCTGATATCGGTTTTTAAAATCGACCTGCCATTATCCCCATTAACTGTTCCACAATCCACATGCATTAAAACCTGGCTCAAAAAGGTGCTTGAACTCGTTTATTTTGATTATATTTTGTAAACAAAGAATAAATTTGAAACTTGACGCTTTTTCAAAACGGCTTTTTCTTTATAATAACATGGATCATTTCAAAGTGAATCGATTGAAATTCCATGTTATCGCTCTGAGTCTTTATTTTAATTCTTTTCAGCGTACATGAACTTTTGTTAATTTTAAACTAATTTAAATACTTCCAGTACTGCGCAGTGTCTGAATCCAGGAACTTTATCAACCTTATCTTAGGATATCAACACACTAAGCTCATTCCCCTTGCAGCCTAATTTTATAAGCCGCTTTCGGGAACTAAAATTCGCAGGAGCAGAAAATTTTGTGCGTTCTCACTGACGCTCAGATGTCGCGTTCCCAGGGTCTTTGTCTTGAGATGCTCGACAGGCAGAAATTCAGGCATTATGTACTGCGTAATCTTTCAATACGTTGTAAAAAATCGCACTCTTTTATAATATTGTAGGATTTTCGCCATGATTCCCAACGACGCGAAAAAAAACGACTCAAAATTTAAATAACACGCAGTGCTCGGCATGCACCTCGAATTAAACTGAATCAGCGATTCTGAAAATTTAAACATTTTTTAGAATTATAGCCAAAGGTTTGCGGTTACCGACTTTCGGCAAACGAGACAAAGCTTCACCGAGACTAAATAAATACAGAGTATAATAAAGCGCTGGTGCCTTTGACTGCAATACGCCTTTCATGGTCGGGCTTACTTACTACATCATACAAGTCAAGACCTTTTGAATTAAACACAAAGTTTGACTGAAAGAGAAACATAACTCATTATTCTATTCAAAATTCTTTTATTTAGAAAGAGTAATAATTTCAAGAATTTTTTGACAAATTAGAATTCATATCAAATCACGGAACAATATTCGAATTTCCAAATAATACCTCAAATTTTAAATTGCAACCTTCATTTTTGTATTTTCAAAAGAGCTTTATATATGATGCTTTTAAATTATATTACATAATTAAACGCGTTAGAGGGCAATTATATATTATATAATTTAACGCATAATAAAACTGTTCAATTATGAATAAATGTTCTATTCGCTCTCTGAACGAGCAAGAATTTTCATAAAATTTATGCAGTATTTTATAGCTTTCATTCGTCTGGCCACGTAAACCTTACACTTGCGTGAGCTTTTTTCCGAACTCTGATGTGCCGTTAACGAAAAAAAATGCCGAAGGTTGCGCCGTAATGTTCGGCGTCCGCTGCATGAGTCACGTAAAATATGAACGAAGGCGTGAGGCATGTACGATCGCACCGCACGGATGTGCCAGCAATTAATTTATGACAATTCGACGATTACAGTCGCGTTGAATGTGACGAGCTGACGTCAACGAGCGTTAATCGTCGAGTTGGTTCTGACTTCCTCCCTGCAACAACACAGGGTTTGTTGGTTTAATTTAATATGTTTGTGTTGTCTGTTTCTGTGTAATTTTCATTTGTATTAGCGCAAGACCTTTGCAGTTGAAGTTTAAATCTGAAATTGCGAATAAATCTTGTTAATTCCAATTAATTTTAGTTTTCGTAACCTTCTTTCATGAAATTACCCTTTTATATTGGAGTTTCATTATATAGTGTTTTATTATGGGAGCTTGGTAGAAATGCGTCAACTGCTTGCGTATTCCCACACTTTTCACTAGTGAACAACTAACCTGTTTGCATCACGTACATTGACCTCACGAGGTCGCGCATCACGTGACTTCGCATCTCGCGGCCATCGCGTTATCATACGCTCAAATTCTCTCAGTAATATTGACTAAAGAATGTCAACACAAGCTTCATGCATCGAAGTGTTATTGACTCGCAAATCGATATTTATTTCTTTCAGCGATCAAAACGGACACCAAAGACTGAAATTAATTTTCATGCACAAACACACGGCCAATAATATAAGTTAGAGTTTCAAGTGAATTATTAGTTCCCTTCTATTCGTGAGCAAAAAATGCGCGCAAGTCCTCAATATGGTTATTTTTAAAGGTATTTTTGAAATGGTTTATAATAATTCCTTTGTCCAGGCGAAAAAATTTTCCTTCATCTCCACCGCAAGCAGGAAATGACGCGGCGCTGCTGACCAACGTCGCGGAGATGCCAGACGTCGGACAGGCTTTACTAGTCTGCTAAAAAAAAGTCGCGGTTCCTACGTTCTATACGATCTTATTTAGAAGAACTTGCTGCCAGATGCAGTCAAAAAAACTACGTTCTAGTACATTGGGAGAAATTGTCTCACGGTGGTGTTTATTTTTACACCAATTCTAGAAAAATAATATGAGATATGCCAAGAAAATTTCTGTACCAAAGAATATCTTGTTGAAAAAGTTATTATCAAGCAATAAATTAAATGGGTGTTTTCGACCGACGAACAATTCAAGATCATCATGGAAACTAAATTGTGTTGATGGATGTCGCTTCGACGACGTCTGGGTGTTGTGCTGTTGTAATTGCCCATCCTGGTAGTGGCGACTATAGAGGGGGGGGGTTCACCTAACAATGGCTGATAGCTTGAGACATAACAGTGCGCTATTATCTTACTAATTTAAAGGCAAACACGTTCAGTTATGAGCAAAGTGAACTGTCGCATGTCGGAGCCAAGACTAGACTCACAATTATAACGATAAAGCAGAGTAACTTCAGATTGTAGAAATTATCAGAGCTTCTTTTGCAATTACTTCATGCGAACTTTGCGGCATGAACATATTTATACCAACACCGTAGTATACCAAAGAACCTCGCCATTCTAAAAATTTTAAGCATAATTAGGACGACCGTCATAAAAGGCCTAATTATTTTTCTGTAACGTAGATTATCAATAATACTTTTGACGTGCATTTTTTGGGGCATCATCAGAGCTAATTCGTAAACAGCAAACATCTCACACACACTTAGCTATGTCAACCACTTGCAAAACTGCGAAAATTGCAAACTTCAGAACAATTTTTTAGAAAGTTGATGATTGTTGGCCCATTGGTTAACTTCAGAGTACTAGGATTGGAACAATGGAGTTGCGGGTTCGATACCAGCTTCCTGTGACTGTCAAAATCAGCCAGGTGGCCTGGCGGTTATGCACAGTGAAAATCGGGGCTATGAGTTGCATGTTCGAGACCTGACACAGGCTACGAAAATTCTGTATTGTTGAGGCCTGATCTGCATCAATTCTGTATTGATTCAATCAATTCTGTATTGATCTGCACAGGCCTAATCTGCAACGTTGACACCACTATACTCCACTCACCATTGGTACGATGCAGCACCACCATCCTGGAGTGCCTGAGGCTGCTGCGTGTGGGGGTATGGCGGCCACCAAGCTTCTTGGTCACGAGGCTGCAAGGCACCGTCGTGGCCAGGTTGGTGGCCTGTGAAGGGCATCTCTGCAGAGGCCGCGACACAGGGAGCGCCACGCGTCCCCACGACGACTCGTATAGAGACACCGGCCGAACACGGTCCTGTGAACACACGAACCTACTTATTATCTGTGAAAGATTAGTGAAAAAATAAGTAAATTAATTGTAGATATATTACGATAAGATTAAAATCATCTAAATTAAATTATTTTACAGTTTTTGATTTTTATATTTCTATAGTATTTCAGCTTTCGCAGTTTGCAGATCACGCATGATGTTTTAAATTTGAGATTTATAAATGGAGTCGAATTAGAACTTAATGTTAGGCATTCATTTTTCTGTATGAGGTGATTCAATTTAAAAATTCTGCGTTATGACCAGGCTCAATTCACGTCAAATTTTGTCGCAATCTCCACTTCAGCAGGGCGAGGCTTTCCTTATTTAAGTCATGACCATTCATAACCTCGTTTATAATCTTTAACCTCGCGGAACATTTCTTACAGAGAAATGAATTACTCCATTAGGCACTCTACAAATCATCTCTGGAAGTTCCTGCCCAAAATCATGTAAAAGTAACTTCAGCTTCACCGCTCATAAAGTTATGGTGTTCGTGAAACTAAAGGAAACGATGAAATTCTCCATTAAATTGAACTGCAGCTGCTGTGAAGAATATGGCACCTGAGACTTATTGCTTCAGTGGCACCAACATTGGACCCTTAGCAATAGAGATATGCATTCTATGTAATTGTTTCGTTTTGTTAGGATTCTTGAATAGAAAATGCTATATTTTGTAGCTAATGAATGATATGGATCAAAGGTCTTTATTGAAGCTCATGATATATCATATATGAGCTCATTACAGTTTCACTCTCACTAATTAAAAATTAAATTAAAAATATTTTTTCATTTTCAAGTAATTTTTCCACCTTCATACATATCTAATGAGGAATATTTATTAACTTAAAATAAAACTAAATTAGGGTATGAATTTTTTAAAATTTGATCATTCTTGATCAGAATATTTCTTCAGATCAATAACCTTGCCATAAAAATCAAAATACTTCTAAGGAGTTTTTGCAAAACCAATGAGATGTATAAGAGCATCCGCTAGTGAACTGCACTCGTATTACAAGGTAGCTCATCTGCATCAATTAAAACTGAAAAACTTTTCTTAAGCTCCTAAGCTCTTAAAATTTGTGTAGGAATATAGTGCAAATTCTTCAATATTGGCAGAAAATGTTACGTTCATTTCTCCTGTAAACGAGGAAGATGCAGATTCACCCTCGTAAAAATTAAATACTCGTTTTCCTGAAAACTCTTCAAGGAAAGATAATAGTGAAGTTATTAATCGTAAAATTGTTATAAGTCATTGTGGTAAACGCACAATATATTTTTATTTGCAGACTCATTATACCTTTACAACTTTCCAGTAAGGTAAAAGATCAGGGAAACTTTTGACATGGACGATTTATTATCTGCAGAACGATCCTCTTTCTCTATGATGTTGAAATAGATTTGACGTCTCAATAAATAAACTTTCCTTTGGCATGAATCTAGGTCAAAATTTTATATTATTTGAAAAGGCCTATTTTAATTCCAGCATTATGCATGTTTTAAATTATCAAATACGCAAAAATTTAATGAGGAAATTTAAAGCACTCAGGAGTCATTCAAGGTAAACAAAAAAAGATTTTATGAATAACAAATGAAAAAAACTACTTGTATGTTATCTATTACAATCATGATCAGTTGCCTCATCTTGATATTATAAATTGAAAGATTCTCACCCTGAAATTGACGGCGAGACTTGGTGAAGAGACCGACTCTGCTCCTGCGGTGAGACTGCGAATGCGTGGTAGTGTACTTGACATCAGGGGGCTCCGTACACTAGGTACGTGTAATGCTGCTAACACATTTGTATGGTCCGTACTCTAGGTACGTGTAATGCTGCTAACACATTTGTATGGTCCGTACTAGAGACCGACTCTGCTCCTGCGGTGAGACTGCGAATGCGTGGTAGTGTACTTGACATCAGGGGGCTCCGTACACTAGGTACGTGTAATGCTGCTAGCACATTTGTATGGTCCGTACACTAAGTACGTGTAATGCTGCTAACACATTTGTATGGTCCGTACACTAGGTACGTGTAATGCTGCTAACACATTTGTATGGTCCGTACACTAGGTACGGGATACACTTCGTACACTGCTAACACATCTGATACTCCGCTTAGGAATTGCACGTAATGATACTAAAACTGTTGATACTCCAGACACGGAGCACGTGTAGCGGTGCTAACACATTAGTTGGTCCGTGCTTTAGGTATTTCAAATGGTGCTGAAACACTTAGAAGACCTTACACTGGATGCGTGTAGCGGTGCTAACACATTAGATGGTCCGTACATTAAGTATTTCAAATGGTGCTAAACACTTGGCAGACCTTACACTGGATGCGTGTAGCGGTGCTAACACATTAGATGGTTCGTGCTCTAAGTATTTCAAATGGTGCTAAAACACTTGGCAGACCTTACACTGGATGCGCGTAGCAGTGCTAACACATCTCTTGCATTCGACTATTCACGGTTCACCAGATACTGAATTCTGATCAGTCCTTCAAATTTCATCCGGTGGAGAAAACGGCTTCATATTTTCTCGGAAGTTTCAAGCAAATCAAAAATATCGAATGCATAGTCCATCTTGAATAAATTTCATTATCAGTATCAATAATCCGTTTTTAATACAAAATTTTACTTGTATAACGGCATCGTTCACGCTCAAGTTTGGTCTGTAGTTTTTTTAAGAGCAATCGCGGTGTTTGTAAATAAAAAATTAAGGGAAATCTGCAGATAAAATAATATCACAAAATTAGACACCGTTTTCGCAGAAAAATATTGTTCGCATCTTGTTATTAAAAAGTTGAAGATATACAAAATGTTTATGTGTTGTGCACATAAAAAATTCTGTTTATACGTATAACGTTAATGAGCCATAAATGATCAATGACTAAGTATTTTCATATAAATTACTTCACCAATCAGAAATTTCCATCAGAATTGAAAGGTAAAAATGAAAAGGAATAAATTTAATTGAATCATTAAACAGTACAATATTCTCTTGCACTAACAATTGTAACTGTGCTCCTCAGACTTGAGATTCAATTTCAACCTAATCGACGATGCCGATAATTTTGACAGGTTCCATTAGCCAATTCTAGGCATAATGCATCATCGGACATTGCATTTTAGACTGTGACAGCTGACAGCGATATCTCATACAGTCCCCACGCCTGATCATATCACTTCACCGCCACGCAATCCCTCCCTAAGAATACAAAATTAACACAACGCATTTCCAATGCAAAGTTCTGGGAACGGGAGACGGAAGTGAACAAAATGCTTTTATTTATTGGCGAGAACATTGTTTGAAAATTCGTATTATAATTAAATATTAGACCCAGAAAGAATTTGAGTTTCATTAATTTTAATATAAGCGCTAGATAGAAAATATAATATGTCAAATCATCAATATTCATCGGAACAAGCGTTCAAGATTGTACTTTTTTGTATCCTCTATTTTATCCTTTGCCTATTTCACGGAAGTTGATATAGAAAACGTAAGCAGCCAACACAGTAGCACATGGTACAGTAGATTTTTTATTTTTTTGCTTTTTTTTAAAGGCCTCCCACACTCACCATTCCAACAAAAAGGAATTATTTTATTAATTAAAAACAGGGAATGGTTTCATGTCAATGATCAGGGCCCCGACCTCGGCGTCCCTACAGTAGATGGAAGTCGCATCCAGCGTTGGACCCGTTCCTTAAGTGGAGCGCTGCTGCGGTCAATCGACTCGTTAAAGCCCGTGAATTATAGCTTGGTAAGCACAGAGATCTTCTATGTAGGCTCATTCTTTAGGCAGCCGTTTGTCCGGCTGATATCAAAGGAAACTTCAGCTTTTAATTCCGACGCGTCCAGAGTTAGATGCTTAATTTGGATATGATGTGAGGAGAGGCATCGAATGCAGCTATAATCTTGAAATGAAGGCAATGGAGCTTGCCTAAACTTGATCGTATTGTGATTAGATCCATCTCGGTAAAATGCGGACAGAGGATTAAACAGTAGAATGTTTGACGCAACTATTTTTGCACGTTATTAAGAATTTTTGAATACTCTAATAGGATTCTTATGTTCATACGGATTTCCTCCAAAGGGAAGGAAGCGACACACAAGTTCTGAAAGTAAAAGTATACGGAATTGATCAGAACAATAAGTGAAATCGATAATTTTCGTCATACATGATTCTCCACTTGAAATCCAAAGTTTCATGGCTTAAGGATACGATACAATTGGGAAATTATTTCGTGGAAAATTTGTTATTTATAAAATTGGTTGTTATGCAGAAAATTAAAAATAACGGAATTTTAGAAAATTTATCCATTTCTTAAATTCCGTTATTTTCACTCTTTTGCTATTTTTTCTTATCTTGTTCTTATCACATTATCAGGCTGGTGCAGGAAATTTTTCAGCAGAGCTAATAATTTTTTTTTCTCATTGCATTTTTGTTCTTGCATTCATGGCAAGTTGCCGGAATTTTGAGAACTGATGGGAATCCTAAACCAAAACTCAAATTGGATATAGCAAAGCTGAGAATATCTTTTCAGCTTCAGGAGGAAAAATTAATTTTCTTACTTAAATTATCACCTCCAATAAATATATATTATATCATTTATAACAAATATATAACAACCAAATACAGATTCAAACATTTTTCTCCACGCGTTTTTTGCATTTTATAGGAAGCCAAACGAGCACTCATGCACCTCCTGCCTGCTTTTCCGAAGGACTTCTCTGCACACATTACGCGTGAGATTGTGTGCCTTGATTTTGCTTTGCGCCTTCTACATACACAATAAAAAATATTTGAATATTCTGTTGTCGGTCCAAGCAGCTATCCGGACTTTAAAAAAATCAGTATGGCAAAATCAGACGTTGCACCGTTGCATCGGGCGCTTTTGTACTGCAATCCTATGCGTGCACCCTGAACACTGGGTGAAATTTAAAACATCATTTGCGACATTTGGTACGTAGCTCTGAATAAAATTCTCATGCAACTTCAAAGCGCACCTCCTCTTTCATCAAAAGATCGCATAGAATTACATTAAAACGTTACTGGTGTATCTCATTAAAGATAAACCACGTGAGAATTGAATGTAATTTCAGTGAATTCCGGAGTAGTAAAGTGATCGTGAAGTGGTAAGCGATATGGTGGCCCAGGGGTTACAGTTCAGCAGAGGCCTATCCAGGCCTATTCTTCAATGCCGAAGATACTATACTATACTATACTATACTATACTATACTATACTATACTATACTATACTATACTATACTATACTATACTATACTATAATATACTATACTAGGCGTATTAGATTCATTTATGCGGTTAAATACATATAATGGTCATGTTCTTATAAGTAAGAAAGTACCCAGACTTGAGGCCGGTGATTGATGTTGTAGGTGAAGGCAAAGCAAGCGAAATGAACACGTACGGACAGAATGTCAGAACAGAAATCGACTCGCTTATAGGCAGAAAGAAAAATGCCATGCCTCGTAAGCTTCGACCTCCAACAACCCACGCACAAGCCATGAGTGCGTGCCACAACACTCACGGAGAAGCACTTTTGAGGCTAGAATATTTGATGCTCGTAGTCTGCATACAGAGTGCGGTCAGATGGACTCTTTGGCACAGGCAGATATTGTCTGCATGTTTGGTGTCCACAGTAAATTATTATGGTATTTGGCAATAGAGCTCCAGAATAAATACAGTTGTTTTATATTATTTAGTGCTGCTTCAGAGCTATTTAATATGATCCACGTGTGGAGGGGATCATATTCATGGCACGTGGCTTGATGCATTTAAATTCAATTTCTATTTATTTTGCTTGGTTAATGCGATTACACGGCAGAGAGCTCTTTAATTCTCTTCGCTCAATTTTTTACGAATATATCGTGGAATTTTTATACAGATCACAAGATTGAATGACTTGAAACGATTGTGGAAATTAACATTTTTACCAATGAATTCGAAATGATTTTGGAGCAGCTGTAACACATTTTCTTCGATATTCATAAATTTTGCTTTCCATAAAACTTGAATTTTTTAATTCATGATTTCCCTTTATCTGGTTCATTCATATGCATGAGATGAGCATAACAGTTAGCTATTCGAAATTTATATAAAAAAGGAGAATCCCTGAAATAATTTGCTATGAATACTTATACACGCTTAAATTGTCAAACTGATTTTAACATTTCACGGAATTACCTCAGGATTTTTAATTTTCCTTTAAAATCAAACAGCAAATTCCCCAGATTTGCAGCAAACGCAGGAGCTGCCACCGATAGACCGTATCCTGCTGTCTGCTGCAGCCAGTGCTGACGGCCGTTATAGCGCCGTTATGCGGCGCTGCGCCTGCCGTAATGGTTCGATCATCATGCCATCGAGCACGCCAGCGATCATCATGCCATCGAGCACGCCAGCGATCATCATGCCATCGAGCACGCCAGCGATCATCATGCCATGGAGCACGCCAGCGATCATCATGCCATGAGCACGCCAGCCATCATCATGCCATCGAGCAAGATGGTGTCACTCATAGCAGTTTTTCTCGTCGCCATGCAGTTTTTACTCTCGCTTCATAGACTTCTTCATTCCATCATAATTCCATTCTTTTGAACGACAGTCTCATCCGTTAAAAGTGAAGTCCTTAATTAGCGTGGCGTAAACACAGAGTTGGCTTATTCGAAGATGGTAAAAATAGCAATAAAGGTCTATTATAGAAACAGCAAGACCTAAATAGAGAGTTTTATTATTGACCTGTGAGACAAAAGTGGTGAAAAATATTTAGTATTTACTAGAAAATCTGAAAGAATTTCTGTTTCAACAACCAATATTTTCAATAATAT